GAGTCCTCGTTCAAATGGACAGTGTCACGGTAGTCTAATTCATTTTGTTTATTTTTGCGTATTACTCGCTGTAAAACTTGACGTATGGAAGGAAATTCATGAGAAGCAAATATGTCTCTCACAATTGTTCATATTTACAACTATAAACAAGAGAGATAAACTTTGAAAAACGGTTTGTTAAGAACAGTTTTCTGTCAAAAACCCCACCCAAAATCCGTTTTAATCTTCTTCAATTTTGACCCATCCGTGTCTCCTTTTGCATTTGCTGAGTTACTTAAATGTTGTTTAATGGTTTAAGACGTTTTTTTATATATTTCGTTTAATTTTGTGAACAGTTACCATATATGGCTGAATGTGGCAAATGCATCCAGTTGTACCACCACCATTTTTTGTTTAGTGCCGTAGCTAGGTGACATTTATCAGGGGGGCCAATCACGACCGTCGAAGACGCCAGCTGCTAGAGGGTCCAGGGGCATGCTCCCCCGGAAGATTTTGAACTATAGGGTATCTAAAATAGCATTTTCAGCCTTCGGAGAGCATTAATTTCCGGCAATTTTTATTTGTTGAGGCCATAAATGTATAATTTTGACGCTTTATCAAACCGAAATGAACACATTGAGCCGAAGAGCAGCGTGAAGAGCGTGGCCGCTGACCAAATTAAACGTGATTGTCAAAATTATTGGGGGAGGGGAGGCAGGCCCCCCCGGCCCCTCCCCATGCTACGGCACTGTTGTTGATGCAAATAACTGAAAAAAAATGAGTCACAGGGTTCGTACAGATTTTTGGATCCAAAATTCAAGACTTTTTCCAGACTTTTTTTGGCAAAACAATAATTTCTTTTTTCAGACTCAAGGCTATCTACTAGGTGATCAGTAGAGACCTTAGAAAACGTAGGAACAAAGTCTTTTTCATGAGGCACTGCAAACATACGGGCGAGATTGGATAAGATTTGACCAAAACGACAAAAAATTCACCTATAAAGCACTTGTTGTAGCTTTGAAAAAAAAATCAAAACTTTCTACCATTTTTCCAGACTTTATCTCTGTTTTCCAGACTTTTTCCAGGTCGGAAAAATTGCTGGACAAATTTCAAGACTTTTTCAAAAATTCAAGACTCTGCACAAACCCTGGAGGCACCATTTTGAAATGAAGAATTTCTATACAGGAAAACCATATTACATGCCGTTTACCAGCTCGGGGCTGATAAAAGTCAAGATCCCATGGATATTTGAAAGAACCGTTTTCACATTTTAACGTAATAATGACTCCGCTTTAAAGGGCTATTTACAATCCTCTGTTATTTGACGATCAATTTCTTATATCAATTATCCCTTTCACTCTTTAAGTACGCTCTGAAATCATTAGAGGCTTTATCAGGTTTTTCTTTCTACGCTGGGTAATCTTAATTGTACACAAGCACACCAAAAAACGGTCATTGCCAGTGCGAAAGGCGGATAGAAATTTTACACAAATTTAACGCACACCGGCGCAAGACAAGAGTAAAGATTACACACCTACACTATAAATAGACATATTTAAATTGCTATCGAACCACAATCGACCAAGAACACTGCGGTGGCGTCTTCAGTATGTTCATTAACTGTTATTGAAGTATTTACAGCGTACATGGGTAAATATCTAGACAGTAGGTAAGGGCGAGTCAGAGGTTACACCCAACAGATTTCACGAGACCGGTGGAGATAGTTGCCTCTTGTATCTGACAATAAAAGAAATCATAATTATGATTCGAGGCTACAAAAGACAATTCTACAGTTGTGTGCTCAGTGTCCTGGCCTTTGAATAGAAGCGAGGCTGGAGGTGACATGTACATGATCCTGTTCGCGGGCTTGTTAGCATGAGAAAAACACGATTTGCACATGAAAAGAAGGAAGAAGGTTACCTCCAGCCTTACTTCTATTCAATGGCCAGGGCACTGAACACAAAATTGAAAAATGAACAGAGGTAACCTTAAAAGGCTAACGTTCCGTTCACGAGTGTCAAATCTCACGAATCAATATCCTATTACATGGCTAACGTGAAACAAGTGTATTTTGTCCCTATCAAGAAATGATCACAGGCTTTCATGGCAGAATGGGAAAATGTAAAACTGAGAAAAGTCTGGGAAACCTTCACCTCTTCAATGTCAATAGGTCATTTCCGAGTTCCAAAACTCTCACTTTCAAAACAAGCCAAGGAAAAAACCTCTCTTGTGAAAATGAGTTTCATTTGCACGACTACCGCACAATCAGACGACGGAAGACTGGATCCTAGCGCGAGACCCAATTTTTGGCGGGAAATTGTCACGGCCACCAACTCCCTTCAATCGCTCAAACAAAGAAAATCATTTTCACATCAAAGGCTTTGCAGTAAACCAGGTTTTAAAATTGAGGCATAAAGCAACTACGAAAAAGGCCGCCTATTTCAGATAGTATTTATATAACTTAAGTCACCTGTCGAAGATATTCCTGGCATTCACTTTTCGCGTTCAAGAGTAATTCCGCCTGGACTTTTAACACCCGGATGTTCCAAGCAAAGCTTTCCACCGCCTGCGAGAAAAGAAATACAAAGAATGAAAATGAGCCAAAGGGAAAATGAAAATCCCGCCCTCGTGGCTTCACGAATATTTCTGAACCGCACAACAAAAATATAGGAAACCGTTTTAAATCCTTTATGGATAAAAACTGAGTACGCTGCAACAGAAAGGTTACCTTTGTTAGTCGCTTTCCTTTTATCCCCTCTTTAACACAGGCGTTGTGCAATTCTTCCTGTAAAAGAAGATTTTAACGTTTTTTCTTTCTGACATTCTGCTAATTATAGCATACGGATAATGAACCAATCACATATCAAAGCAGATTGGCCGCGCAGCGAAGGTGACTTCTGATTGGTTGCTGACAAAGTAGCATGATTTCTCACAACCAATCAAAAACTATCTTACCAAGTAAAACCTAAACAAACTATACTTGCAATGGGCAATTAAAAGGGCGCTCTATAAATCAGACCGTTTCATCCGAATGACTACGTCACCATGGATTGGTTTGAGTCTAACTATTCTTTTCCCTGAGTCGTATCGCGCAAGATGTTTTATCCAATGAGAACTTGGAAAAATCCATCTGTAAGGCTGCGTTTCTTAGGACATACAAGAAATAGACCTCTTTACCTAAGCGTATTGTATTCTCAAAAGTAGGTCTGTGATAATACTCTTGAGGTGAGCTGTTTCGAGTTTGGACTCAAAGGAGTTCCGAATCTTGTTTTGAATTCATGTAAAGAAACTCGGAGTCCGTACTTAGATTGAATTTTGCTTGAATAAAGATAAAGACATATAAAAACCAATTCAACTTACATGCCATTCAAGGCCAGCTCTCTCGCACTGAACAAGCTACAGTAAAGAATAAAGAAAATATTATTGCAAAAAATTCCAAACGACTTTCCATTCTCTAAATCATGCAGTTACTAGCTTTTTTCATGTAGTTTCTCTTTTTGAAATCTCAACCATTTATATCTTGTTGTGATTAAAATGTTTAAATTCAGTTGTATGAGGAAATCTGTAGGAAAGCGGACCCTGCATTAAAAGGACAATCACACTGTGCGTTTTCCCGACGATGTATTCAGTAAACCCTATTTTTCTTGCCACATTTTCGGTAAAACGGACCTGTATTAAGCCGACACTCGTGAGGGTTCGCATAATACACGTTTTACCCATTCACGTTCCCTTTTGTTTCCTAACACAATATTAAGATCAAGTTATTTCCTCGCATACGTATTCCAACTCTATCATCCCTGCCCATATCTCCAAAGCTCCCGGCTTTCAAGGATGAACCGGTATCCGCGCAAAATAACTAGCATGCCTTACCCTTTCGTGTACAGAATCACAATTTTCGATCAATGCTTTGGAATCTTGAACTACCTGAAAAAAGAATAAACGTTTACTTAACTTTTCTTAACTTAGAAATAACAGCTAATTCTTGTGAAATTCGCGGGTAGTTTAGCTTATTTCCTTGTTTTCATGTCCCTTTCGGCGATTTACCAGCGAAGAATTTCAGTAACGCATGCCCCACTCACCGATACAGGCCAGTTTTTACCGTTTTACAGACAACGATTAACCGGTTCTTCAATATTTAGGTAATTATCCACCGGATGATTCACACTTGAAGCGTAACGGACCTATATTTCGGCGGTACGCCGCGGTACGAAGCACGCGCGTGCAGCTTATCGATTAACGATCAGGTTTTATCCTGGACCCGCACCCTGGGCTTGTAACCTGTAACCTTCTCATTGAGATACGAGGGTTCTAAAGTAGCCACCAAGAACATTGACCTAGTTGCGTTGAAACAATATTTGTGAAAAATTTAAAAAAAGTGGATTGAAAAAACTGGAAAGGAAAGTTAATTTTTTCACCTGCTCTATCGCTGTCAGGGCTTTTTTCAACATCTCTGGTAAGCTTCCGTGTGCCTTAAAAAAAGGATACTGTAAAACAAAAGATGAACTTTGGAAAAACAAGTAAATAGAGAACTTAGCGTTCGGGCCAAACGCCTTTCTTTAAATGAGCCGAACTCAATTTAATTTGTCTTACAAAGCTGCTCAGCAAAAAGACCAGTTCTGGATTTTTAAATGTTCGGCCGTTTTACCCAACGGGCGAACTTGATAATTCAGGTCGACCCAAACTGTAATCGAGTAAATTCGGAGCATATGAAGCACGGCGTTTCACCCGACCCATAAAAAACTGCGACAGTTAGGGCAAGGGGAACGTCAAACAAACAGACAAAAACAAAACCTATAGCTATGTTTAGATGGCAAAACAACAACTCTGCAAGTGCATTACACTTTTGGTACATTTTGTCTGTCGTCTTCTGTCAATTAACACGTGAAATGACCAACTTTTTAGTTTTACAGATAACATAACCGTGGTCTCCTTTTCTCTTATCGAGACTGAGGGGAATAACAAAGGACATTGAAGTGAGATTTAGGGATAAACTGAATTCATTTCTGTTCCATTATTCTCCAAGTATATGAATTTTGATAATTGCAAACTGGCCTATTTATAACAAGAAGTGAATATGTCTTGAACGGTACCTCATCTTTCATAACAAGGCCCAAAGCCATGAATTCTGACGTTAAGTCCAGTCGAGAAGCCAAGAGTCTGATACACTGCTTAAGGTTTGATCGGGGCGCTACGCCACAGACTTCCTACAAAAAAACAAAACAGAGTATAAAATGACACAGGGTACTGAGATGTTACTGGGAAAGCCTCTCATTTTGGCTGCGTGACGACCAAACTCTGATCTGGTCTGAAGCAATCTCCTGCAAATTTGAGCTACTACTGGTCTCTGGGGAAACGGCATATACTCGAATACGCGCCGCACCCCTTGAGAAAGAAGGCAGTGCTGTGTTAGAATGTAAATCCTTAAATTTAAGAGCGAAAATTACTCGATTTTAAGTAAAATGAAACATAACGTTTCTGTTTAATGTAGTTAGGACAATTTCCTAGTATACCCTTGCCTTTGTTAACGATCTGCACCAAGAAAATCTACAACACTTTTTTAGTGAGGGATAAATTCGAATAAGCAACGAAGTCATAATATCATGGACATGGTGCCAAATACAATCAAGTTGAAAAGGAAAGAATTACCCTGAAATTTCCAAGAGACGCTTGGACATTTTCTCTTAGATCTGTGCCATCCCTGAGAGGTTGAATAGCCACCTAATTGGAGAAACACAACAGAAAAAAAGATTGAAGCAGATTTCAAATGAATTCCACAAAACAAAATTACTCTGGCCAATTACAATTCTCCCAGAATTTAAAGGAAAAATCAGATCTAACAGCAAATACTTTTAGCCAACGCCGGCCAAAAGCGGGAAATTGCACGCCATTAGAAAGGCACAATTGGTTTTGATTTTACTTCTGATTGGTTAAGAATTTAGTGCCAGGTTTGTCAGCCAATCAAAAAACACAGCAAATGAATGACTTAAATTATCTCTGACTCTTAGCAGAAATTGCTCTACTGAAACATTTACGCTGCTTCCTTTCTTAAATTTTCTCGCATTTTTTTCGCTTTATAACCAAGAGAGAAAGCCCCGAGACGCTTTTACTTCACAGAGTCAGTGTGTTTGTAAGTGCCTTATCAATGGAGCAGCGTGCTTTGAGTTAGTACCCAGGCCTGCTTGGTGGACTTTGCTCTGTTACGGAATAAATTCACCGTTAAATGATGTTGCTGTTGAAGCAGTAAAAGGTAACTATACTCACCTTAAACGTATCATCAACCGCTTTGACTCCAACCGTCTTCATACTTGTGTACTAAAACATACGACAATGTACAGATCACTACACAATACATGATCAAAGATCCTTGAAACTAATATCGGAAAGGAACAACTCACCACCAACCACTCACATTAAAGGGCTGGGGCCGGTTGCTCGAAGCCTGGTTAGGCTTAAGAGGTATCAAAATGTATAGGTTTCCATGGTATTTAACGCTGGTTAGCACTAACCATGCCTCGAGCAACCCGGGCCTGGCCGCTAAGCAGAGCAGTGGATATACCAGTTGTAATGCTAAAACGTGGAGAAACGCTAAAGTATACTGCTGCTAGAGGAAGAAAGAACCATATTTATTTGAACTGTGCCGTCCCCAGAGCGTTTTGTGTCATGTCCGCTGGGCATTGGAAAACTGTGTACCAGTGATACGCGCGCCAACATACTAGAACCATTTTGAGCGCAGGTCAGCATTACAACAGTATTATACGCGGAAAACATTACACGCGCGGAAAAATGCGCAACCAGTATTGAGCGTACACAGTGTGCAACAAACTAAACAAATCATATGAGTAAGTAGACGAGAAATAGCAGGACTAAGATCACTATTCGCGAGAAAACAACAACAACAACAACAACAACAACCAGTGCTTAGCTGAGGATTCTCGCTCTGAGCGGGTTGCTCTGAGGGATTACGACAAAGAAGCAAGTTAGCTATTATTGCTATCATTAACAGAAAGCTAAGTTACCTCACGCGCCTTTTTCGATTTCCTTAAAGATGCTTTCCTTGGTTTTTGCTGCAAACAATAACACAACATAAAGAGTAAATTAAGACCACACCAAACAGAGAAACAATATCAATGAAAAATCAAATTCCCTGACACCAAAGTGAAAAAAAAAAAGATGTATGGCAATCAATTTTAAGTAGAATGATATGTGTGGAAAGAATAACTCAGAAAAAACTTCTGAGTTTTTTCTGATTTCCAGATAGGAATTGAATCCACGCCATTCCAGACACTAGTGGATGCTCTGAACACTGAGCTACTCAGTACTGTGAACTCTGCAGGTCATTTGTGGCAATCAGTAAGGAGAATTACTAAACTAAGCTTGGAGAGACTTACGGCTACAGCGTCGTTTAGATTGGTGACAGTCAAGTGCAGAAACAAGGTGGCGGAATCCAGGGCTTCTCCTTGAGATGATAAGAGTTTCACATGACGATAACCTGAGATTCAGAGTAAGAATTAATAAAAAATGAATACATTACAAAACAAACCAGTATGTGTATGCAGATTCAAGTATACTGCATTAAAGCGACAGCTTTAACTCCCGAAGTTGAATCGAGAAATTCTAATAGAGACCTTTACATTCCAGGACGAGAATTGACTTAAAGCTTTTTGGCGTATTCTCAAAAAACATACACCCCGGAAAGCTTCATTGTACCTTTTATTTAAATCAGAAAAGTTAGCACGATTATTTTCATTGAAGGAGGTTACTGTAGATCTCTCCCGATCGCAAAATGATTAAACTTCTAACATTATATAATTTGTTTCCGTAACTACGACATTTTCGCTAAAACCCGTTGAAGAATGATGACGGCGATCGCGTTTTCCCGCCAAAATGAGTGATTTGTGATTAGCCGTTGGTAGTGTGAAGTTAATTATTTGCGGGTTAGTTATCTTACATTTGTTAGGCTGCCGAATTAGGTCGTAATAACGATAGTTTGCGTTATAAAGTCCCAACTAAGGCTTATGGACTTGAAACAAATTAAAGGGTTCATCTTTTCAGATAATTAGCACAATCCAGGAATTGTCCACTCGTAATTCTCACCTGGTTGGATGCAGCCAGGGGGGGGGGCCCACGACTTAGCGAAATTTCGTGTACCTATGATCCACCGATTTATGACATCACATCCGGTTTCAGAGTTGCTGCTCTGTTTTCGCGCGAGGCACAAAGATGGACGCCCAGTGCTATTTGGTTAAAAATTGTCACGGCCACCAACTCCCTTCAATCGCTCAAACAAAGAAAATCATTTTCACATCAAAGGCTTTGCAGTAAACCAGGTTTTAAAATTGAGGCATAAAGCAACTACGAAAAAGGCCGCCTATTTCAAATAGTATTTATATAACTTAAGTCACCTGTCGAAGATATTCCTGGCATTCACTTTTCGCGTTCAAGAGTAATTCCGCCTGGCCTTTTAACACCCGGATGTTCCAAGCAAAGCTTTCCACCGCCTGCGAGAAAAGAAAAACAAAGAACGAAAATGAGCCGAGGGAAAATGAAAATCCCGCCCTTGTGGCTTCACGAACATTTCTGAACCGCACAACAAAAATATAGGAAACCGTTTTAAATCCTTTATGGATAAAAACTGAGTACGCTACAACGAAAAGGTTACCTTTGTTAGTCGCTTTCCTTTTATCCCCTCTTTAACACAGGCGTTGTGCAATTCTTCCTGTAAAAGAAGATTTTAACGTTTTTTTTTTTATCTGACACTCTGCTAACTATAGCATACGGATAATGAACCAATCACATATCAAAGCAGATTGGCCGCGCAGCTAGAGCTAAGCGCGGGAAAAACGCGTCAGCGAAGGTAACTTCTGATTAGTTGCTGACAAAGTAGCATGACTTCTCACAACCAATCAAAAACTATCTTACGAAGTAAAACCTAAACAAACTATACTTGCAATGGGCAATTAAAAAGGCGCTCTATAAATCGGACCGTTTCATCCGAATGACTACGTCACCACGGATTGGTTTGAGTCTAACTATTCTCTTCCCTGAGTCGTATCGCGTAAGATGTTTTATCTAATGAGAACTTGAAAAAATCCATCTGTAAGGCTGCGTTTCTTAGGACAAATAAGGAATAGACCTCTTTACCTAGGCGTATTGTATTCTCAAAGTAGGTTATGTGATAATACTCTTGAGGTGATCTGTTTCAAGTTTGGACTCAAAGGAGTTCCGAATCTTGTTTTGGATTCATGTAAGGAAACTCAGAGTCCGTATTTAGATTGAGTTTTGCTTAAATAAAGATAAAGAAATATAAAAACCAATTCAACTTACATGCCATTCAAGGCCAGCTCTCTCGCACTGAACAAGCTACGGTAAAGAATAAAGAAAATATTATTGCAAAAAATTCGAAACGACTTTCCATTCTCTAAATCATGCAGTTACTACCTTTTTTCATCTAGTTTCTCTTTTACAAATCTCAACCATTTGTATTTTGCTGTGATTAAACTGTTTAAATTCAGTTGTATGGGGAAATCTGAAGGAAAGCGGACCCTGCATTAAAAGGACAGTCGCACAGTGCGTTTTACGATGTATTGCAGTAAACCCCTATTATTCTTGCCACATTTTCGGTAAAACGGACCTGTATTAAGCCGACACTCGTGAGGGTTCGCATAATACACGTTTTACGTATTCCAACTCCACCATGGCTTTCAATGCTGAACTGGTATTCGCGCAAAATACCCAGCATGACTTACCCTTTCGTGTACTGAATCACAATTTTCGATCAATGCTTTGGAATCTTGAACTACCTGAAAAAAGAATAAACGTTTACTTAAGTTTTCTTCACTTTGAAATCACAGCTAATTCTTGGTGAAATTCGCGGGTAGTTTAGCTTATTTTGTTGTTTTTACGTCCCTTTTGGCCATTTAGCAGCGAAGACATTCAGTAACGCATGCCCCACTCACCTATACAGGCCAGTTTTTACCGTTTTACAGAAAATAATTAAACGGTTCTTCAATAGTTAGGTAATTATCCACCGGATAATCACCATTCAGTAGACAACTAATGGGCAAGGCAATAGCACCATCCACAGGATATAACCTTTACCAGCATATCAGCCGAACCAATTGAACCACTGGTCTGTTTGGAACTATTCTTTAGGTATTTCAGTGAATTCAGCAATTATCGGTTGTTGAACTTAAGTGCTTTTACTTAATCCATGAAATGGATAGTAGATTACAAAGCAGCATTGCACTTTTTTGTTTACTATCAACTGACGAGATACAACTCACTTTGACTATGAACAGGACTACCGCACATGTCGATTACACTCACGAACGTTCATATCCCACTTCACACTTGAAGCGTAGCGGACCTATATTTCGGCGGTACGCGGTACAAACCACGCGCGTGCAGCTTATCGATTAATGATCAGGTTTTATCCTGGATCCGCGCCTTGAGCTTGTAGCTTGTTGAAACCTTCTCATTGAGATACGAGGGTTCTAAAGTAGCTACCAAGAACATTGATCTAGTTGTGTTGAAACAATATTTGTGAAAAATGAAAAA